GCCCCTTTAAATCCGCCGGGACGGCACAGCCCACCGCGGGACGGGGGGGGGAATCCCTCCTCCTCTCCCCTGCAGCGCGCAGCCGTCACGGCCGCGCCACCCCCCCGCGGGCGGTGGTACAGCCCGGCGTGTAGCTGTGGGGAGGGGGCGTGGCCAGCACGGCGGGGCGGGCTCGGAACCCCCTGAGGGCGGCGCGGGAATGGCGCGGCCGCTGCTCCGGGACGATCCCGGGAAAAACTGGAATTTCTTCCCGGTGTGGCGGAACTTCCCGGTGTGCGGGAACTCCCCGGTGTACGGGGCGCTCCCGGTGGGGCGGGGCTGAGCGGCGGAAGTTGGCACTGAGGGTTTTGCAGCAGGGGCGGAGGTGGCGCTGCCGAGACCTCGTGGCGCAACGGTAGCGCGTCTGACTCCAGATCAGAAGGCTGCGTGTTCGAATCACGTCGGGGTCACGGCGCCCTTCGGGGCTCCCTTTTTCAGCGCCCCCCGGGATTTTTTGGGGTGATCCCGGCTGCGAATCCCGCAGATTTTGGGGTGAGCGGAGCTCCCCTCGTGCTGTGGCTTCTCCTCGCGTCTCGTTTTTTTGCCCCTCTGAAAGAGCGTTGGAGGAAATTCTTCCGGAGCGTTGAATATTTAACATTAAAAAGTATTGGGGATCAATAGGGATCTCCTGGATCCCCAAATTCCTCCCGGATTTTGGGGGGGTCAATGGAGAAAGCTGCTCCTGCCCCGTTCCCGTGGCTGCTCCTGGGAATTCCATGAGGAAACGCTGAGAAATTCCATGGGAATATTTATGGGATCACCCGCCAGCCCTCCCTGGGCTGCTCCTGAGGCTGCCTTGGGAATATTTATAAACATGCACATATTAAAAATATTATTAATATTATGTCATATATATATATATCTATATAAAAATATATAAAAATATATAAAAATATAAAAATAAGTGTTTTCCTTCTTTTCTCCCTCACTTTTTCCCATTTTCCCCTTTCCTCTTTTCAAGGGCTGCTCCCAGTTCCGTGGTTTTCCCTCTTTTCCCCCTGGGATTTCTGCGGGATCCACATCCCGTTCTCACCCTCCTCCTCCAGCCTCGCACCAAAAACATCCGAGTCTGCTCCAAATCTTGGGAGAACTGGGACATCCCGGCGTGGGGAAATTTGGGAATCTGCCTCCTCCGCATCCCTAATTTTAGGCAGTGAAATTCCAGAGCTGTCAGCCAAGAGCAGAGCTTGGCACAGGCAGGGACAGCAGTGATGAGGAAGTGGGAGCTGAGGAGCAGCTGGGACACGGCCCTGTTCCCAAAAACCATCCCAAAATGGGGCTGGAGAATGGGGAAAAACGAGGATTGGTGGGATTGGGAAAGTCCTGAGGGATCTGGGAAGGGTTTGGGGAATCCTGAGGGAGCTGGGAAGGGTTTGGAGAATCCTGAGGGAGCTCAGAAGGGTTTGGAGAATCCTGAGGGAGCTCAGAAGGGTTTGGAGAATCCTGAGGGAGCTGGGAAGGGTTTGGAGAATCCTGGGGGAGCTGGGAAGGGTTTGGAGAATCCTGATGGAACTGGGAAGGGTTTGGAGAATCCTGAGGGAGCTCAGAAGGGTTTGGAGAATCCTGATGGAACTGGGAAGGGTTTGGAGAATCCTGAGGGAGCTGGGAAGGCTCAGCCTGGAGAAAAGGAGGCTCAGGGGGAATTCCTGGCTCTGCACAAGTCCCTGCCAGGAGGGGACAGCCGGGGGGGATTTGGGATGTTATCCCAGGGAACAGGGACAGGAGGAGAGGGAACGGCCTCAGGCTGGGCCAGGGGAGGCTCAGCTCGGACAGCAGCAGGAATTTCCTCATGGAAAGGGCGGCCAGGCCTTGGAAGTGGCCAGGGAGGTTTGGAGTCCCCGTCCCTGGAGGTGGCAGCTGGAGGTGGCACTCAGGGCTCAGGGTGGGCATCGGGCACAGCTCGGACTCGCTGATCCCAGAGGGATTTTCCAGCCTCAATTCTGGGATTTTGGGATCTCAGCTGCTTCGTGCTCCTCCTGGGAGCCTCCGTGTTCCTCCAAGCATGAGCCAACCCCACACGACCCTTCCCAAGTGCCAGCTCTTCCCAGCGCTTCCAGGGATTTCCAGGAAATGCTCCAACATTTCCCCGAGCATCTATGGATTTCAATTCCAATAAATTCCTCTTTTCACTCTTTATTCACCGAAAAAAATTTCCCTATTTTCCCTCTTTATCCATAAAAAAAAAAATCCCTCTTTTCCCTCTTTATCCACAAAAAATTATCCCTGTTTTCCTTCTTTATCCACCAAAAAAAATTTCATATTTTCCCTCTTTATCCACCAAAAAAATTCCATATTTTCCTTCTTTATCCATAAAAAAAAAAAATCCCTCTTTTCCCTCTTTATCCACAACCTCCTCATTATTAAATAAAACCCCTTTTCCCGCATTTCCCGAGCTGATTATTCCCATTTTATTCCCATTTTTTTTCCTTCCTCCTGCAGCTCTTTCCCCTCCCCATTCCCCATCCCAGGAATTCTGAGCAGGAATTTGAATCTCCTCAGGAATTCCCGCTCCTCCCCTGCTGTTCCCATGGAAACAGATGTGGAATTACAGGGATTTTATGGATTTTTGGGAATATTTTGAATTCTTTTTCCCTTTTAACAGCGACATCTTCCTTCATTCCCGAGGTTGGGGTAAATAAAAAATCCGCTTTTTTCAGGCACCAAAAAAATTGGGAATTCGTCATTCTCGGACACCTGGAAATTGTGGATGAGCCGTTCCTGTCTTGTTGAAATTCCCCGTTTTTTCCCTGTTTTATCCCATTTTTCCTCCTTTTTCTCAGATGCATGAATTTTAGTGGGCAGGAAAATGGTTTTGTTGGGATTTATATTTGTTGTTGTTGTTTTAATCTTAATGAAATACTTAATATAAATTTACTTAATTAAATACTTAAATATTATTGAATTTATATTTTTAATTATTTTCTGTAATAATATATGTTTATATATTTATATGCTTATAAATTTATATATTTATATGCTTATAAATTTATATGCTCATAAATTTATATATTTATATAATTTATATATTTATATGCTTATAAATTTATATATTTATATATTTATATATTTATATATTTATATATTTATATATTTATATATTTATATATTTATATATTTATATATTTATATAGATATATAGATATATAGATATATTTATATATAGATATATTTATATATTTATACTTCTATATTATATATTTCTATATAATATTTATATATTATTATTTTATAATTCTATATTAAATATTAAATATACTTAATATAAATACACTTAATGAAATAAATAATATTTCGTTTCTATTTTAAATTGCTATATACAATAATATATTTTTATATAATTTTATATTGTAATTTTTATATTAAGTTCTGAATATAGTTAATAAAAATTTAAATTAAATACTTAAATATAATTTAATTTATATTGTAATTATTATATATAATAATGTATTTTATATTTATATTATATATTTTTATATAATTTTTTTATATTTTATATATTTTTAAATATATTTATTCTAATCCAGTTTGGGGAGGGGATTTTTCCAGTTTAGGAATGGGATTTTTCCATCTTGGGAATGGGATTTTTCCAGTTTGGGAATGGGA